TGAGTACTGCTCATCAGGTCTTGGTGATTTACTCATGCCGTGTGTCAGAGTCCTGGTATGGCCACAACAGGGAGATCAAACAGTTTGGCTTTATCAATCTGATCTGGACCGTTTCAAAGCAGGAGCATGGTTGAATGACATGCTGGTTGATTTTGGATTGAGGTGAGATTCATCAAACAATTTTATTCCATCATTACCATTAGCCTGGATGTTTATGTGCGGGTGAATTGGATTAGTTGGAAGCTTGAACAGACTTGACAAAGTGATCCAAACCTGACGGAGTCAAGTTATATGTTCAGCACTCAATTTTTCCAGAAAATCAGCAAGAAGCCAAACAAGGTGTGAGTTTTGTATACATCTGTCTGTGACATGGCACTTGGTGAACTTAATATAAATGTTTTGAACATCTCAGATGCTACAACCCAATCTGAACTGGCTTATGAAGGAGTACAAAAGTGGACAAAGTATCATGACCTTTTTACAAAGGATTTGGTGATCACTCCAATTCGTCAAATGTACGTGCTTGATCTGAGTGTGTTTGTTTTGGGATCTGATCATATTTTTGTTTGCAGTCAACACTGGTACTCCATCATCCTACTAAATCCTGGAAAATTGTTTGATTCTCCTCAATCCACGTCTTTGGCTGGCTCAAAGGAGATGTTATTTGTCAGCTATGAGGAACTTAGTCACACTAAAATTCCCAAATAACTAAACCACTTAACCTTGACAATAATTATAATTACAAAAATCTATAAAAATATATATATCACATCTCAACACTCGAGTTTCAAGAGTGAACAATTACGTCACATTACAACTATTCGAAACACTGGCCAGGATCCAATAATAATTGAACCCTGACCAGGCGAACTCAACCCCACAACCACCAGACCAGTTAAAACACTACATTAACTAACCTGGAAGATCACAACGAAAACGATTTCAGGAAAAATCAAGAACCCTTAATTTTACCAAACCAGCTTAGGCAAATTAGAAGATTATTACGCCACGTTAGAAACCCAGCTCCTATATAATCCATAGATTTCTCCTAAGAAAGAAGAGACCACACTAAAAAACATAACCACCAATTCCTACTTGAATTACTCAAAGCTCTTATTTGATAAACGAAACTCGTTTTACTTTTAACAGAAACCAAGCTGCATTAAAACTTAAATTTTAGACAATAGCTTTTCTAAAGACTTACTTCTTCAAAAACTAGCTCTCTGTCTCACTTTTATCGTTCCATTTCTTTTGTTTCTTAAAAGAAAACTCCAGTTACGTAAATCTTCAGAACTGTATCTTCATTCAATTTTTCCTGATTTTCACCCTATCGCTTGAGGACAAAGGATTTAAATCTTTACCTATTAGGATCTTATCAGTAAGACCTAGTGGAAGGCGTTTAGTTGATTTAGATCTCTAAAATAGCTACCTTTTTCGGATCCCAAAACTCTACGAGGAGTTGTCCAAGTAAGCGAGTTTACACCTCACTTAAGATACTTTTTCCTGATTGATTAGAACTACTACTAATCAACTTCTGTTCAATTGAAACAGAATTCCTTACTTGGCTAGAACTTATAGTAGCCCAACTGCTACCACAAAGCCCGTGCGTATTCACCTTATCATCTCAGAATTTGTCTTTCGAGTCACTTTTCATCTTGAGCTTATCCCGTTAGTCTCTACTTGGAATCTCAAGCTGACAATTGGGGGCCTCCTCTCACTTTCAGATTTTTTTTTTTTACGAAAAAACATCTTTGATCCCGAACCTTTTTTTACTTTATCATCAAATCTACAATAAGCCAAAAAACCCATAAAAAACATTTTTTTTTACTAAAGATATCTTTCTATCTCATCTAAAAGCTTCGTCAGGAATCATTTATTCTTCAAATTTTAACCAGTTATCTTTAGACTTGTTCGGAGAACTCCCTTATTTCCAATTTGAAAACAAGAATCCGTACACCGACAAAAGCTACAATCAGTGCTTTGGAATACACGCTTGAAATCCCGACAACGCCTGGTTCAGATTTTCAAATCTCCTCGACGATTCATCCAGTGAACTTTTTCTAAGCGACCTAATCTTAACAGACATCTAAGAAAGAAGACAGTTTTTTTTTTTTTTTTTTAACCTACGGACTAGCAGTAAGTATTACAAATCCTGTCCTATAGCATACCTCTCTAGATCAACTCATAACCAGTCTACTGTAACTGACTCATAAAACTATCTTAGTGTCGAACGTACAAAGTTTACCAGCGTACCGTAGTACCTTCAGCGGAAGAGAAGATAGCCTTACTCCCCAAAGCCAAATCGAAGGCGAAAAGAGTTTAGAATCCACCAGCCCTCTCACCAACGAAAGCTTTGAAGAAGATATAGGAACGACCAAAGACCAGCAAGGACAGACTACTCCAAAGCAGACTTCAGACACACAAGCCACTGCCATCATTATTGACAGTCCAGTTAACAAAACTCGCAACCGACCTCCTAACATTGATCTCAGTGTTAGCCCAGCGGCACCAGCTACGATTAGCCTATTTGAGAGATTCACGTCAATACCTGGTTACTCCAGCCCGAGAAATAGAATACCCCGTTAGTAAATTTTCTTTTTGAGAAGTACTGCATCCAGACCGTATAAACTTACAAGAGTGAATTCATGCCTACCACAAGAAGCAACGCCTCGCGGTCTTCCAGCGTCGCAGGATCCGAACACTCTGTCGGCGTTACGACTAGACTCCGCTCCAGCCATATCAGTGCAGAACCTCCAATCAACATCGACCCATCTCCCGGAACCAACAGTCGAAGTTCGAGCTATCTTGCAGCAGCACGAAGCGAATTACGGTCTGTGGGTGAAAGCCCGAGAAGCAAAAGACGCGAAAGCATTCAAACACACGACCATCATGGACAAAGACCTGCATCGCAAATTGATCAAACAGATGGGCTACCAACCTCTGCTAGATCACACGAAAGGATGGAATCCAGTAGAATGGGATTGGACCACATTCGAAAAGAAGATAGTGGAAACGAGGGACAGCCGTCGCAACAACAAGCGCAAACCGTCCTCAAGACCTTCAGGGAGTGTAGCCGTAGCGGATCTTCAGGAAGTATTAGGTCTAGTGAAGAGCTACACGAGTCGTTAGAACGCATGATACTCCCCTTAGATAGGGAACTGCTGGCCCCATTTCACTCAAATTTGTCTGATTCAATTTCTCCTCTTGTACAAAGTTTGTTTAAATTAGAAAAAGAAATAAAAACCATAAAAAATTGTGTCCGTACATCCAGAGCCACAAATGAGAGAATTGAGAACATCGATGGGATGTTGGGAGGACTCTCCGAGAATATTAATTCTCAGATCGTGTCACTAAACAAAGTAAGTGACGATATTGAGAAAGCTATCAAGATAACAGACAGTGCAGCGGTCCAGATAAATTCCTGGTTAGAAACCATGAGATTGAAAATGAACAGTAAGTATGAACAGACGGAAGACCTGATATGCAAAGGACATATTGCGTTCCATGAAGCAAATCAAAAAATTCGTTCAACCATGATATCAGATATGCATGGACTTTTCGAGAACCAGATGACAGATATAAAAAGTCTGTGGGCAACACACAAACAACAACCAATCAGTATTGAGAACGAAACCACCCCAATCTCCATAACAAACGAATTCATGCAGCTACAGAACTTAGTAATTAAACACAGAGAAGACCAGCTAGAAGAGCAAGGGTTACTACGATCTCAAAATGAGCAGATCATAGGACTTTTAGCGGATCTAGTTCTCGTGAAAGATAAGGCATCCCCTATGTTACCTTTAGCAGAAACAGTGGAGACTAAGAACCTCAGAGACTTACCGCCCCACATGAACAAAGCAGAAGAATCATCGAAAGCAGGAGAACCAATTGCTTCATCAACCCCACACAATGCTGAGTACACCGCAGAACCTTCACCTTCAGCTAGAGATATAGCTCCGTTAGCATTTAAAAACGAGTCTATAGAAGACATTATCCAACAGAAGTCAGAATACACTAACAACGCAGCATCAGATGAGCTTATACTCTATAAAGCACTTAAGAACGAAGTACCAGCTAGCAGGAACTGGCCAAAGTTTAGTGGCGAAGGTGAGTACAACCACGTTGATTTTATCAGTTGGATAGACAGAGTGAAAGAAGATATGCACGTACCTGACGCATTGATCACATCGAGAGTCAGCCAAGCAATGACAGGGCTAGCACAGTTGTGGTTTCTCGAGAAAATAAAAGAAGGCAAATTGTCTTGGGAAGAATGGAAGGAAGCAATAAACGCGAAATTTGGCACTAGGAAGTGGAGAAGAGACATGCAATCAGCTTTCGACAAGGACCATTTTTCTACAAAAAACCAAGAACCAGTGAAATGGTTAGTTGTTCAAAGGAAGAGGTTGGAAGCAGCACAACCGGGGATTGATCTTGAGGATACCATTGATAAGATTCTGGAACAATGCCCAGGCGATCTAGACCACGCAGTCAGGAGTAGAATGTTGACTCTATCAGACTTTGTCGAATTTACAACCACGTTCAAAGAAGTGGTTAACAGAACGACAATAGGTAAAAACACTAGTCAGCGTATTGCCAGGAACTTGGACTGGAAGACTCAGGCAACAAGCGGCACTACGACACCTGACCCAAAAGCGACAACCAAACCAACAACGGTCCGTATACCAGGGAAGTGCGACACATGCGGTAGCACAGAACCCAAACATGACTATAGGTCGTGCAGAAGGAAAGGCAAAGCCATTAACATGGTTGAACAAGAGGATATTACGCCCATAGATTCAGATCACGAAGATGTAACGTTCTATAGCGATGCAGAGAGCCTTTCAGACAACGACGAAATAGTGACAATGATACAAGATGGACACGAAACACTAGACATAGCTTGTATAGACGAGATACAGATTCAAGCACCCAAGTTCCTACGCAGAAAGACTTGTGACACAAGACTCGGGTGTCCTTGGTTAACAATTATCTGTAATACTTGGGAATTCAACATCCTCGTAGATACAGGAGCGTCAAGCTCAATGATAACACCATGTATCCTAAACAGGATATGGCCATCATGGAAATTTGATATGAAACCCACACCGCCCAAACGATACTGGACACCAACAGGAAAATTGGAAGCAATAGGGGAGGTGAGACTACCCATACAATTTGTCCACCCAACAGCGTCATGTGTGATGATGGCAGACTTTGTGATTATGAACAACACAACAACCCCACAAATTATCCTAGGGTCTGACATGATGCAATTATATGGAATGAAAGTTTCTTATTCAGACACAATCGAAATTACCTTTGAAGACTCTGAAGCAATTTTTCAACCGAAAAATGAATCTGAGATCCAGGGTAAGAAGTTCCCAGGGGAGCACATACTAGCAATAGAGTCTAATGCTACAGAATTAGATATATCAGAGGTTCAAGCAGAAACGGAATTGCCACAAGAATTTTCAAAAAATTTGAAAAATCACATTGGAGACGCAAGACAACTGAAGACAAGACCTTCGGCTGGTAAAGCGCACATGATAGGTCAACATAGCATTACGACCGTGCTAATAAACAATCAAGAGGTAAGCCTGCTACTAGATAGTGGCGCGTCGTGTTCGATAGTAGGAGCACGGTACCTATCTACAATAATAGGAGACTGGAAGAACAGAATGTTACCAAAAAGCAGTCTGACCTTCAAAGGATGTGGAGAAGCGCTAACTCCGCTAGGAGTCATAGAATTTCCAATCATATTCCCGCATACAGAGGGATCCATACGTATTCGCGCGGAATTCGTAATAATAGAGAACGCGACCCCTACATATTTTATACTAGGCGACGATTTTCTATCCCTATATGGTATAGACATTATGCATACCCGCGAAAAGTACTTTACTATAGGTAATGACAACAAAAAGAAGAAGTTCGCACTACAGAGCACAAAGCGAATTCTGGCAGTCCAAACTCCGCATCCAAAAGACACCACAACAAATAACATATTAAGAAGAAGGATTGTTTCAGGCGACAACCTGACGAATGACCAGAAAGAACAGATACATTCAATAGTGGATAAATACCACACTACTTTTGGTCTGGGCGAAAAGAAAATAGGTACTATACGAAAATATGAGGTAGAAATATCTCTGACAGTAGAGAAACCATATCCCCCGATCTTAAGAAAAGCCGCATATCCAGCTAGCCCAAGAAACCGGGTGGAATTAGAAACTCATATAGACGAATTGGTTAAATTAGGCATCCTCAGGAAAGTCCAGCAGAACGAGGACGTCGAGATTACCACACCATGCGTGGTGGCATGGCACGGAGGTAAGTCTAGAGTATGTGGAGATTTCAGGGCGCTGAATGCCTACACAGTACCTGACAGATATCCCATGCCACGGATTGAACAAGTAATTACAAATTTAGGAAAATCAGTCTATATTACAACAATGGACTTGATGAAAGGGTTCCACCAAAATGTAGTATCAAAAGACAGCAGAAAATTCCTGAGAATCATCTTACATTTAGGAATATTCGAGTATCAGAGAATGCCTTTTGGCATCAAAAATGCCCCAGCATTTTTTCAAAAGATGATGGACACTGAATTCTACGAAGAACTACGCAGAGGAAATGTCATCGTATACATAGATGATATTATTATATTTCACGAGTCATGGGAAGAACACGTCAAAACACTAACATCAATACTAACAAAATTAGAAAACTTAGGAGCCACGATCTCACTAGACAAATGCAAATTTGGATTTCACGAAGTTAAGGCACTAGGACATATAGTGTCGGGTCTTACTCTAGCAATAGATCAGAATAAGGTCGCAGCAGTACTCCACAGGCAGTTACCCAAAACAGTTAAAGACGTACAAAGTTTCTTAGGGTTTTCCAGCTACTACAGAATGTACCTAGAAAATTATGCCAAAGTCACGTTCCCGCTTTACTATTTACTTAAGAAAGGAGTAGACTTCTCGATTACAGATGAGAGAGCTAAAGCATGGAATAATGTGAAAAACTTGCTCACATCAGCGCCATGCTTATTGCAACCAGATTTTGGTAAGCCATTTATCCTATACGTCGACGCAAGCTTTTCAGGACTTGGAGCGGCCCTACACCAAAAACAAGTAGTCAAAGAGAAACTTGTTAACGGACCGGTATGTTTCATTTCTCGACAACTTAAAGAGAGTGAGAAAAGATACGGAGCACCCCAACTAGAATGCCTAGCTCTAGTATGGGCTCTGAATAAACTTCACTATTACCTGGACGGGATTTACTTCGAAGTCATTACAGACTGCCAAGCAATCAAATCGCTAATGAATACAAAAACTCCGACCAGACACATGCTACGATGGCAATTAGCAATTCAAGAGTATAAGTCGTACATGACAATTACACATCGACCAGGTATACTACACAGTAACGCTGACGCATTAAGCAGAATGGCAATGCCCAACGACGAGAACAACCCAGCTTGGGAAGCCGAAGACACAGACAGAGACGTACTGATCATGGGTATCAGTCTATGCGAACTATCCGACGAATTCTTCGAAAACGTAGAGAATAGTTATTTGAAAAACCCAAACACTTCTACACTTTTAAAAATATTCAGCACAGAAATAAAAGACGTAGCCATGGAAAGTACTTTAGAAACGCAATGGAAAGAACCATTCCAGGAAGGAAAGTTCTCCCTAATCTCAGGAATACTCTATCATAGAGAAAAACACACGAACGTGCTAGTCATATGCGACAGAGCAGATATCGAGAAAATTCTGGCAGTTTGTCACGACGATTTCATGTCTGGACATCTGAGCGAAGACAGAGTAGTTCAGAGAGTAAGCTCCACAGCTTGGTGGCCGGACTGGAAAAACGAAGTACACGATTACGTAGAGTCATGTGAAAGATGTCAAAAGGCTAACAGACAGACGGGGAAGCGATTTGGGCTACTTCAGAGAATAGAAGAACCAAAATTCCCGTGGGAGGTAATCAACATGGACTTTGTCACAGGACTACCTCCCGCAGGCAATGATAATGTAAATAGTGTACTAGTAACAGTAGACAGATTTTCGCGTCGAACACGGTTTTTACCATGTCACAAGGAAATCGACGCTATGGGA